GGCTGTGCTCCAATAAAACTTTATTTACAAAAACAGGCAGTCAAACTTAATCTGCAGACTATAGCTTGTCATTCGTGCTAAATGAATGAGAAAATGTTTTATTAAGATGCTAATAAATTCAATCTTAATTCAATCTTAACATATTGAAAAAGATTCCGCAGAATAAGATCTTTTCTTAACATTTTATTTCTTAACAATTTATTAATAAATTTAGGGGAATCAGTTCCCCTAAATCTCACCCATTGTTTCTTAAGTCAAAGTCTAAATTTCTCTTTTTTCAATCACCTTAAACCTCTACTATTTAATTGAATGGGAACTTTTGCATTCAGTAGAACATAATACAGTCTAAGAATTAAGATTAAATTGACATTTAAATTTATTAAATTTTATCAACTGATTAAATTTTAATTTTTTTTAATTAAAAACTGATATTGAATAAGTAATCACGTGAAACACAATTGGATCATTATTCTGTGTATATTTTGATAAGATTTAATCTTGGAGTTAAATCCTATGGTTATAAACAAGGCAATTAGTTCACAACAAAAAATGAAAAAAGATGGACACAGGAGAAGTGGCCAGATTAGTGGAAGACAGACTGGGAAACCCACTAACGGAGAGTTCAACATAATCTAGCCTCACAAGATATAGCTCAAGGTACATATGAAGCCCTCAAAGAAAATTCAACATTGTTCCTCTATGAAAATTTAGAAACCCACAATGATGAATGTCCTTAAATTGAGGATTAATGTGAAACGTACATTTTTAGTGTGATTCTTCATAGGTACAGATACATATAGGGGAGAAGAAAGAGGACAGCATAGAAAGAACCACTGAGGAGGAGGAGGAAAGAGAGTAGGAAGAGGGAGGGAGAGGAGAAGAGGGAGCTCAGAGCTCAGAGCAGGACTTGGGTGGTCTTTCTGTATCCTAACAGGGCTAACCAGCTCCCAACATCTCCAATATCAAAGGAGATAAAGAGAGAGAGTATGGCTCAGTCAGCACAAATTTGTTACAGTTACTTTCAGTAGTAGTGGAAGAACAGAAATACTTTGACACATACATACGTTAACTTGTTAGTATTATGTATTAATTAATTAGACAATCTAGGTAAACCTGCCTACAGAAATAATAGTCAAGACCCTTATTTATTAGGGAAGTGATCTTAAAAATCTGTACCAGGATGCTACCTGCTCCTCCCAGAGCAGCTTCAAAAGACTATTCATATTTTGGCATATGTCCCTTAGAGTCTGGAGACACATAAAATGTTAGCTGATTCCTGCCCAGGGAAGTTTTAAGTGAGTTTGTGAGTGGAGCTCCCCCTGCTGAGGGCAAAGTGAAGAAACAGGTCTGCTTTGGGAAAATGGTTTGTACTTCAGATTTTGGTGGGGCAAAAATGAGTTTCCTGTGATACGAAGGTGGACCTGTGGAAAGGCAGACATTCTGAGGGAGATTTTCCCTAAAAGTACCTCTATAGGGAATAAAATAATCCCAAAGAGGGGTGGATTTCTGGAAACCTATGCATATTTATTACTGTATCTTCCTAACATCTAAGGTATCTATATTGTTGGGGAGAAAAAAAAAACCCTAAGGAACCAAAAA